CCATTAATTTCTTTTCATGCCTCTAGGACAAGTCAAAGTATTTCTACTTTAAAAATGGAGAAGAGAGAAAAAAAAAGAGGACAAACGTACTCTACAAGGTGAGCATTATGAGGCACCTGCAAACTGTTTTGCAGTGTTGCCTGAAGAAGAAAAAGAAGCAACTCATATGTGGCTGGGAGAGAAAGATTTATGCCTGAAAATACTTATTTGCCATGGCAGAGAGAGGGTGTTGAAATTTGCTGTGGGCTCCTTTGATAATTAGGTACAACTGACAACTCTGCAGGCAGGCCTAAAGACTCTGATTCCTTCTTTAATAGCCCTGGTTCAATTTACACGACATTTTTATTACTGCTGTGAAAACCCCACCTGGCACACAAAGCCTCTTTCTCCTTTCCCCCTTATGCATGTCTAACATTTGAGGATCTTAATTCAAGGGAAGGCAAGGAGGCAAGTTAGAGAGGGGGTCATCGCCTCCAAGTCTTGCAATGCTGATTAGTTACTTTTTATGATGAGGCTCTGTAACTTATGAGGTATTGTGAGGTCTAATGAATAACAAGAAGCCCAGAGCTACACATATATTACTCATGGTGTAGTCTGCTTACCAAAAAACCAGCTCTGCAGGTTTGATTTTAACAGAAATGCTCAAGTCACGTGCATTCTTATTTCATTGCTTTTATAAGCACACACTAATTGGCTGGTAACTATGCACGCTAGAGGATGCAGACTAGGGAAGGATATTTTGTAGTCCCACACTGCATTGATCTGCAAACCTGAACTCTCATCATACACAGCAAATCCAGTGACAGAATGGATGGGTACACAGTCCAGGGTAAGGACAGCACCAAAAACTCAGAGTGGTACTAAATTTGTGACCTAATTTAAGATAGGGGATGCACAGTTAAAATGTTAGATATTTGCCAATGGGAGAACCCATGGAGAATCTTAGTCTGGTTGTAACAATTCCCAATTACTTGTAGTTTCTGAACATTAACAGAAACGTGCTGATAATACCATACAGAAGCAGACTGATGGGAAAAGCATCTACCCAGCAAGTTCACTGTGGCTCATCGAATTTGAAACATACATGAGATTTTTTTGAAATACATCAATGAATACGACTGGGTGGAAAATGTTGGCTGGCTCAGGGCACTGACAGAACAGTTAGAGCTGCTTAGTTTCCCTGAAGCAGCGTACCTGTAATGGGACACATAAACAAGAGCTGTTACTGTGAAAAAATCATTTGCAAAAAGTTACTACTGCAGTTGCCATAGCTACTTCTAACTGAAAAAAGGGATGGACTGTGGCACTGCTGGTAATGATGCAGTATGTTTTGGTAAATGCTATGTTGTTAATGCTGGCTGTGATGCACAGGAGATTAGGTACGTGATAAGTAGCTTTGCTGAAGAGAAGATTCATTGAATTGTGACAGGTCTGTAAACTGAGTCAAAGCACTTTAGCAGAGTGAGAAAAGGGAGTTGTCACAAAATTAATTTGAAACACGAATGTGTAATGAGATGGCACAATGAAGGCCAAATACAGCTTTTTCAAATTCAATTTCACTAACAAACGCACATAAAGGAAATTTTGAACTGTGCTAGAGCTGGAGAGCTCTTTAAATACAAATCTCAAATTGTCCTTCTGATGCAAAGTTAGAACATGACCAAAATCGTTCTCTTCATATATATGCACCAGAGAGGACACAATGTCATTAAATGCTGACTACGTGCAACGGCAGAAGTTTACAGCAATTGTATTTTGTGGTCAGAAGCCCAAAAGAGGATTGTACGCTTAGAGCCATTCTGGCAATGTATGACAAATTTCATCTGCAGGCAACTAAGGTGCAATGTTAGGTCAGTTACTTTAGTGTATCTTAATAACTGGTGACTAAACTTCAAATTATTGACCAAGTAATAAAGGAATCTCTCTCTCTGCCTGCTCTCCAAAATCACTTTTACAAGAAACAAAGAACTCAGAAATGAGATCAAAAAATGTGCAATGGAAGGTGCAAAGACCTTGGCTTTCTTTATAATCTATATTCATCGTGTTTATAGGAGCTGCGACCACCTTGCCCATAGTATGACCATAGCTTAGTCTTTGTTCAAAGAGCTATTAATCAGGCAATTTTTAAAGAAGGAAGACAAGATGACGCTGTTAGGTGCAAATTCCATGAAAGTTCATGGGGATACAAGCTTTTGTCTTCTTTACAACTGGTACAGCAAATGATAACCAGCATCTGGAACAAGCCAAGCACAAGTTGGATATTGAACATCCTCACACCACAACTTCCTTCTCTTTTCTAAGTGTTAAGCGTGAAGGAACAGATACTGCTTTTTGAAAGCCCTGGTTAAGGCATACTGAGAGCTATGTCACAGGCAGACAACACATCCAGTGGAAGGGAAAAAGTATGGTGACTGACAGGAGACCATTCATCTTTAAGATTAACACTGGTCCTGAAATGAATGCCATCTTCCCAAGGACTGCCACAAGGGGCAGCTGCAGTGGATAGCATCATTTCCATGCAGGGCTAAAATCAACCCCCAGAACACTCAAGAGATGCTTCAGCTACCATCAGGGGAATTTGATAAAAGATTTTCGGGCACATAGATAGATATTATGTCTTTAGAGTTTATTCGCTAGAAAGGAGAGGGAGCAGCTCACACTGCCCTGGTTCCAAGTCATTCCTCACTCTTTAGACAGAAAAGCATTTCCACTTCCAATTAATAATCTGTTTTAAAAACCCAACAGGCTTTTGGGACATACCGTGTTTTTAAAGTAAATATTCCAAAACGTACCTGACTTCACCTTCTCTAATGTGACCTTCTAACTCTTCTATGAATTTTTCCCCTTTCATCCAGTAGATCATGGGCCCCGATTCTCCACTGAATCCAAAGAAAGCTTTGCAGGCCACAGTCAGTGGGCTTCCTGAGGACAAGAAGAAAAGAGAAGGTTAGACACTTCATCATGGCTACTAGGGAGAGAATGATTGAGAAATCTCAACACCTCAGATAAGTCTCTCCATTTAGGAGGAAAAAAAAAGGAATAACTATAAACCATAGGAAAAAAGGTGATGCTGATTTGCATCTACAGGAAAAAGCTGTGAAATGAAACTCTGAGGTTATCCCTCATTTCATTTTTCCCAGGAAGATACTACATGAACAATATTAAGGTATGGAAATGGTGGCAACATAAGGTGATGTCGGATAGGTCGTTAAAAAGAAAGAGATGACTTCTTTGTCAGACTCCTGGGATCTCTACCAGGACTGGGGAGTGTACCCTAAGAGGCAGGTAAACGACTGAACTTGCTTACTGCTGCCTATCCACTTGTAAAAAAGACACAGTAATAATTTCTCCCTCACTTAGACAGAAATTAAATGTTAATGAAGACTTGGTAAGCTGTTTGGAGAGCTTTTGAAGATCCCCAAGTAATACATGATGCCAGTGAGCACCAACAACACTCACGTTACTGTCAACAGGCTTTTGGCAAAGCATCAAACTTCAACGCATTATTCAAGCAATAAAGTAAAGAACTCTCCCTTTCAGCTCTGCAAAAATACTTCCAAAAGAAAGAAAATAAAACTTTGAAATTAATCAGATTTCTTTTCTCTCCAAGAATTCAGCATTTAGATGGGTTTTTGTTTGGCTACAGCTCTCGTTGTACTAGCTAGTCCAGGACTGTGCTTATACGGCCAGGACAGATGGTCGTCTGCCTGCAGAAGGAAAAAGAAAAAAAAAAAAAAGGAACAAAACCCCCCCAAACAAGCCAGGAAATTCAGAAGAACCATGCCCATTCCCATAGTATGCAAATACAGCTGCTGCACCCACTTCTCTTTGCCTTTTTTACCCAGCATAAGCGCTCCAGGTTACAAAGCAGCTGTAGAGTCACTGACTTACACGGGAGGACAAACCTCATTTAATGTCAATGGGGACTCCTG